GCTCCCGCGGCCCGGCCGGCGTGTAATAGGCCCAGAGCGCGCAGAACCGCGAGTGTGCCAGGTACCGGTTTTGTGTTGTTTTTAAGCGGAAAAAAGCATCCAAGTCGGTTTTTAAGTTTTACCCTGGACTGTTTCAAGTCAAACTGTCTGAAGGAAAGGTGCCCTTCCTGCCTTATTTGGTTTAGGACCGTAAGCCACCAGTGTGGGAATTTTGAAGTCTTAACAGGATGATTTGAAAGATAATTTTCTTTAAATCATGTGGAAAATATCGGTGGGGAATTTTTTTACCTAAGGTTATAAAAAGTATTTGAAAGTACAAATATAGAGTTTAAGGTAAATGTGAACTAGCGTGAACTTTTATATTTGCGACGAGTATCTAACGAGTCATCAGAGCTTCGCAGTTTTTAATTTAATCTGGAATGGAAGAACAGAAGTTGTAATTCCTCAGAGTTGAGATTTCTTAGGAAATTTTAGTGAGCTTTTGTTTTTGCCACCAATAGACTAAATTGTCACAATAAGATGTGGCCAACTGCTAGGACTGACAAATTAGCGGGAAGCTGAGTGTGTTAAGCATAGATTGTCTTCATTACCCTCCAGTCTGTCTCTTCATAGTTCCCTTTGCAGCACTGGTGGCAAAATAGATTTTAAAAGATAGTTTTGTCTATAAAAAAATCTTCGGGATTCATGTAACTTATTAAAATTGTCAATTCAGATTACTGGGAGATTTTAAAAAATATTTAGCTTAGGTAAATGTGCAGTGTATAAACATGAAGTAATGATATCAGTTTCATGTTTGCTTCTGGTTAATATTGCTTTTTTAAAAGACCTGCTTTTTATGGATTCGTATTTTGGGAGTAACTTGACTGGCGCTTCTCTTGGGAAACACAACAGGTTCTAACTTAATATTTTATCAATGATCTAAAAAAAATACTGTGCTTCACGATAAAGAGTGGATTGTTCTGCCAGGGAATATATGTATGTTTTTTTATTTTTCCTCAGTGATGTGTTGACTTACCTAATACTTGTGGCAAAACAGCCCTTAAGACCAAAATCCACGGTACTGTGGCCCCTTGCCAGCAATTTTGAACACCAAGTTTATATTTGGACCGTTTAAACGTTTATTCTTTTAATTTTGGTTCCAGCCGACATGTGAGTCTAATTTCTGGTGACTTCTATTAGGGCCCTATGTGAATATCTAGAATTTTTTTATATTAAAATAAGTAGCTCCGTGCCATTTAGAACTTTGTCACAGTGCGTGAGCTGCCTGTCTGCCAAGGTTGCAAGTATACAACATCATTTAGGTTTTGAGTCAACACATGGTTTTTTGGCTTTTAAAGGTGCTTGTTTTAATATCTTAACTAAAATGTTAACCCATTAGGTCAGAAATATTTACTGTTTTGCTCACCTCAAGTACCAAGAATATCCAAAAAATATCCCGAGTAGTTTTCAAAGATTTTTCTAATGCATTTATCCTTTTTTAATTAAAAATAAATTTTCAACCATTAAAGAGCAACTTTAGGAAATAATGCTATTTTGGTTCTATCATAATCTGGTCACAGTCCCTTTGATTTTGTCTCAACCTGTGTTACTTATTAGAGTTAGGCATTTGGTTGATGAATTTAGTTCAGATGTTTAGCTTCCTTCTCTGCAAAATGATGAAGTTGAACACAGTCTCCATGGGTCTCTTCTAACTCCAGGATCTTATTGTTTTAGTTTATATCACCCTGCAGAGCCACCTACTACGTTGGTTCAAACTTCTGACTGTCAGCTCTGACTTGCTATATGTGTTAAACTGGTCTCCTTGTAGTCAGATCTGATGGGTGTGGATCCAGGTTTGGGGGCCTGGATCTGCCTCAGGAACATCTTGCACATGCACACAGGTGTCCACACCTGGGCAGCGTTCTGTGATATTAAGTTTCTGTTACTTTCTTCCCCTCATCTAATAGCAGAAAGGGCTGGTAATGTCATAGGGTAAATGCCTAACTGCTCTTTGGGGATAGTTAAGCCCAGGCCCTGAGATGGTATTCAGTTTTGGAATTTGGTTCCGGGTTAGGGGCATCACTGGAGAGCACCCAAACCTTTCTGTGGTTGGGAGCCCTGGGACTGGTTATTTGGGGGCATTCCAGGTGAAATGCCCTGTAGTGGATTATCACCTTTTGATCATACCTCCGAGGAGACTGAATTGGACCTACCCGTCTGGTTTATTCAGAATTAATTTAGCTTTGGAGGATAATTTGGCTTTGGAAAGTCATGTTTATGGCTTTTAAGGAAATACAAATAAAGACAAAAAAAAGTATAGAAAAGATAGACCAGTAATAAATCAATTGACTTTATGGAGGATTTTGGTTTTTGCCTCATTTAAGCTTCTGTTGCAAGTAACAGAAATGAACTTGAACTAGTTTTAGGAAAAAGAAAGAAAGGAATTTGATGGAAGGCAAATGCAGACAGACGTTATTAGGGACCAGGGACTGGAAAACCTGGAACTTTTCCTGACTCTAGTTTTTGCCTTTCTTTGCTTCATTGTTCTCTCTTTGCTGACCATTTTTTTCTGCTTTCCTGTGTTCAGGATTGAATGTGGCTGCTCAGCAGCTCCCGAATATTTACATGTCCCTTGGTCCCAAGCCCCGGAAGAGACTAGATCATTGAACCTTGATCCTAAATTCCTCAGAGAAAGAACCTGATAGACAAAGTTGGGGTCACATGGTTGATCTAGATTTTCCCAAGGTCTCTTCTAATTCTAGAGTTCCTTGTCGTGTGGAGTGCAGACGTTTACATGGTTTGATTTTGCATTTTTACATTTTGTATTATGGGGTCATTCATCCTTAAAATGTATAATTTTCTTTTGCTGCAATGTGTGTGTGAAAGGGTGTGACACCTTCAGTGGGCTCCCAGGATGTGAGAGCGGTTCCTTGGTACTGCTGCAGGAAGGCTGAAGAGGAAGCCCTGAGTGTAGCACCACATTCAGGAATTATAATGGAGCCCTGGATCCAACTGACTTGTGAAAACCCTGTTTAATAACAACTAATCCGTCCTGCAGATAATCATCTGCGTATTTTCAGGAATTCACTGAATTGAGATGCTGAGCTCAAATATCTGTTACGGGTACATTCATTAAAACTACTTAAATGATAATTAGAGGCATTCAAGAGAGTAATAGTTTAGGGACCAAGAGGTCATCAGTTATTTTCACATTTTCACACATGTCTAGCATTTTCCACCCTGCCCTCCCTTTAGACCATTTCTGCTGCCTGGAATACTTTTCTCTCATAACCTGTTGAAGTCCTTAAGGCCTCCGTTGCATAGTATTATGTGAAGCTTTCTTCATCTCTTAGAATTGGTCATTTCCTTATGCATCTAAGACATTTTGTACCTCAATGGGAGCACGATTTTACCATCTTGCACTGTAAAGACCATATGTAGTCATCTTCTTCACTAGACTCTAAGTTCCATTAGACCAATGAATCATTTAGGAGAGTTCGGATAGGCTGTTAGCATCCATTGTCCCAGATATAATGTTTCCAACTTTTCCAAATGCTCTTAGGGCATCCTGCTTCAAGCCACCTTCTTCTTTTGACACTGGAGCTCAGTCACGCGGCTCTTCTTTCTCAGTCCTTATCTGTTTTCTAGATTTCACAGGCTTTTCTGTGAATATTCTCATTTCCTGTGTGAGGATAGAATATATAGAATGGTAGGACATTTTCCTATAAACTGAGATGCCATGGGGGAGGAGAGTATAGCAAAGTCACGTGGAAGGAAATCAGTTTTTGTTGAGCACCCAGTGTTTCCGAGATTAAGTAGAGAGGGCAGGTGTAGAAAAACAGTTGGAGTCTACATGAAGGAGAATAGTGGGAAGATCAAGTATAAAGATAGACAATTAGGCTTGGCCTAGAACTTGGAAGACTTTTAATGCTAGGTTAGGAAATTTGGACTGGGTTGGCAAGCTATGAGATTGAAGGTTTTGGGGTCCTCAAAATGTCATAATCAGAGTTGAATTATAGGATATATTGTCTAATAATTCAGAGGATGTATTAAATTGGGAAAGAAACCATTGGATCAATGAAGAAGGGTGATAAGGGTTTTTCTTAGAGAATGAAGACCTGCCCAGCGGGACTGGAGAAGTGTTGCTGAGGTAGACTGGACGGAAATAAACGATTAACTGGATGTGAGGCAAGAAAGGGATAGACAAAAGATGATGGTAAGATGTTAAGCCTGGGCCATTGAGAGAGAGTGTGAACTCAGAGCAGGTTTGTGGGTGGGACTAAAAAATAAATTTTGTTTTATGTCTGTTACATTTGAGGTGCTGGTAGAACATTCATGTGGAGATGTGAGTAGAGGCAGAAATACAGAACTGTAACTTGGAGAGATTGGGGCTGGAGATAAAACATGTACAAGTAAGGAAGGTTACAAACAGAGGGGAGGAGAACACATCTGTTGACTGGAGTAAGAGGGAGGGCCCAGGGGAAGCGTTGTGAATGA